GCTGGCGTCTTCGTAGGATTTGAGGCGTCTTCGGCGCAGAGAACGGGAGGGGAGGGTCGAACCTCGAGGATCGAGGTTCGAAGAGCTTTTTGTCGTTTTACGCCTCTGGAAGCCGCTCTCGGGCCCAGGGATCGCCGAAAATCGATCCATGGTGAAAGACTGCTTCGGAGGGGCCCTGGGAAGGGCCCGGGGGCCGATTTTAATTCGATTTCGGTTATCCTGGGAGGAGGAGGAGGAGGGGGAAGGCGACGACGAGGCCGAGGAGGACGAGGAGGACGAGGAGGGCGAGGGTTGGAAATGACGGGGCGCTCCCGTATGTTGACCCGGTTCGTTCGAATGTGTTTCGCAGATATGATTGGGAATCTCGTTCAAAGTAAACTCCGACCCTCCACCCCTCCAGCCTCCGCCGCAGGCGCCCGAAGAAAAATAATTTCAAATTGCGGCCGTGCCCCCAAATTCGAAGCATGCCCCTATGCGTTGCCCGGGCCCCCCCAGGAATCCCAGGGGCGCTGACGGATTCTGTTGGTTTGTGGAGGATTCCTCGAACCTTCCATCCTGGAGGATTCATTCCTGGGCGCTCTCTTGGAGCCGTTTCCAATCAGCGGATGGCGCACCCAACGACGCGCATACGCGCGCGCGTAGCGCGTGCTCGCTACTGCGTGGACCGCAACTGAACAGTCGCCATGCTGGCCTGGAGACTCAAGTGAGCTCTGAGCGGTGACCGATTGGATGTTGAACTTAACAGTGGTTCACCACCTATGAGCGAATTTGCATAACCAACGACGCGCGTGCGCGCGCGCGTGCTCAGCTGTATTGACCGCAATGGACCACTCGCCATGCTGGCCTGGAAATTCAAATGAGCCCTCAGCGGTCACCGATTTGATTTTGAAGCGAACATGGGTTCACCACCTATCAGTGCATTGGCACAGCCAACGACGCGTGCGCGCGTGGCGCGTGCTCAGTTCTGTATTGGCCGCAGTAGAACACTTGCCATGATGGCCTGGAAAATCAAGCCAGCCCTTGGCGGTGACCGTTTGGACTCTGAAGTTCATGGATTCGCCACCGAACAGTGAATTGGCACAGCCAGCGACGCGAGAACGCGCGCGCACGCGCGCGGTGCGCGTGATCAGTTCTGGCTTGACCGCAATAGAACAGTGACCATTTTGGCATGGAAACGCAAGTGAGCCCTTAGCGGTGACCGATTGGATTTTGAGGTTGACACTGGTTCACCGCTTATCAGCGACTTAGCACAGCCAACGACGCGCGCGTCGCGTGCTCAGTTCTGCATTGAGCGCACTCGAACAGTCACCATGCGGCCAGGGGACTGAAGTGAGCCCTTAGCGGTAGCCGATTGGATTTTGAAGTTAACATGGCTCCACCACGTATCAGTGAATTGGCACGGCCAACGACGCGTGCGCGTACGCGCGTGCTCAGTTCTGTAGTTCGCAAAAGAACCGTCGCAACGTTGGCCTGGAAACTCAAGTGAGCCCTTAGCGGGGGCCGGGTGGACTTTGAAGTGAACATGGGTTCACCACTCATCAGTAAATCGGCACAGCCAACGGCGCGCGTGCGCGCGCGCGTGGCGCGTGCTCGGTTCTTGTATTGGCCGCAATAGAACAGTGACCATTTTTGGCCTGGAGCCTCAAGTGGGCCCTTAGCGGTGACCGATTGGATTTTGAAGCGAACCTGGGCTCACAAACTATCAGTGCCTTGGCACAGCCAACGGCGCGCGTACGCGCGCTTGACCAGGTGTCAGTTCTGTATTGACCGCAACAGAATAGTCGCCATGCTGTCCTGGAAACTCACGTGAGCCTTTAGCGGTGGCCGATTGGATTTTGAAGTTAACCTGCGTTTGTCACCTACTAGTGAATTTGCTCCGCCAACGGCGTGCGCGCGCGTGGCGCGTGCTCAATTCTGCATTTACCGCAAAAGAGCAGTCGCCATTTTGGCATGGAAAATCAAGTGAGCCCGTTGCGCTGACCGGTTGAATTTTGGAATGAGCATGCGCCAACCACTTATCACTGGATTGGCACATCAAATGACGCGCGCGCGTGGCGCGAGCTCAGTTCTGCATCGACAGCAATACATTCGCCACGTTGGTCTGGAGACTCAAGTGCAACTTTAGCGGCAGCAAACGACGCGCGCGCGTGGCGAGCGGTCAATTCTGTACTGGCCGCACTAGAACAGTCGCAATGTTGGACTGGAAACTCAAGTGAGCCCTTACCGGTGACCGATCGGATGTTGAAGTTAAAACGGTTTTATCTGTGAAGAGTTGGCACAGGTGGCTCGTGCTCACTGCTGTATCGGCCGCGCCATAAGAATCGCCATGTTGGCCGGGAAACTCAAGTGAGCCCTGAGCGGTGACCGTCTGGATTTTGATGTTAGCATGGGTTCGCTATCTACCAGTGAATTGGCACAGCCAACGACGCGCGCACGCGCGCGCGTGGCGCGTGCTCGGTTCTGTATTGGCCGCAATGGACGGTCGCCATGTTGGCTTGGAAATTCAAGTGGGCCCTCAGCGGTGACCGGTTTTTTTTATAGTGAACGTGGGTTCACCACCTGTCAGTGAATTGGCGCAGCCAACGTCGCGCGCGCGCGCGCCCGTGGCGCGTACTCTCTCCTGTATTGGTCACAATAGAACAGTCGCCATGCTGGCCTGGAAACATCATAGGGGTCACTACATCACCAGGGACAACGCCAAGATAACAACGTCGACGACGCACGGGGGCATCAACACTAGGGGGGTGGAGGCCAAAACTCGCGACGGGAGCCCGCGAGAGAAAGGGCAACTGGGAAACAACAAAAAAACAACGACGACGGCACCCCGGGCGGCAAACACATTCAAACAAAACGACGAAGAGAGTCTCCTCGAAAACTTCCCTGATTCTCCTACTTGTACTTGGGAGTTGCACTAGGGCGTTAAAGAAAAGGAATTGTACAACAACTACTACTACTACCACTTGTACTAAGGAATTGTACCAGGGAGTTGTGCTAGGGAGCTGTACAATGGATATGAAGTGGTACTACCAGGGAGTTGTACTAGGGAGTTGTGTTACTACTACTATTACTACTACTACTACGACTACTACTACTACTACTACTACTACTACTACTACTACTACTACTACTACTACTACTACTACTACTACTACTACTACTACTACTACTACTACTACTACTACTACTACTACTACTACTACTACTAGTACTACTACTACTACTACTACTACTACTACTACTACTACTACTACTACTACTACTACTACTACTACTACTACTACTACTACTACTACTACTACTACTACTACTACTACTACTACTACTACGACTACTACTACTACGACTACTACTACTACGACTACTACTACTACGACTACTACTACGACTACTAGTACTACTACTACGACTACTACTACGACTACTACTACGACTACTACTACGACTACTACTACTACTACTACTACTACTACTCCTACTACTACTACTACTACTACTACTACTACTATTACTATTACTATTACTTTTACTATTACTATTACTATTACTACTATTACTGCTACCTGTACTTGGGAGTCGTATGGCCAACATGGTGACTTGTCCATTGTCGACAATGCTGGAATCCTCAAGCGGTGCGCGCGCGCGCGCGGGGCGTCTGTAGTGGCCATGACAGAGAACAGACTGAAGAAGCCGGGTTACCTCGGAAACACAATCATTCACCGCTAGGGGGCCACTTTAGTTTCCAAGCCAACATGGCGGCTTTTCCATGGTCGACAATAAGGAAAGCCTCACGCGGTGCGCGCGCTCGCGGGGAGCCTGTAGCGGCCACGACAGAGGACGTGCGCAAGAAGCCATGTGACCTCGGAAATCACGGCGGTCACCGCTCAGGGCCCAGTTTAGTTTCCAGGCCCAAATAGCAACTTTTCCATTGTCTACAATGAGGAAATCCTCACGCGGTGCGCGCGCACGAGGGGAGTCTGCAGTGGCCATGAAAGACAACATGCACAAGAAGCCAGGTTACCTCGGAAATGCAACCGGCCATTGCTAAGGGGCCACTGTAGTGTCCAGGCCAACATGGCAACTTGTCCATTGTCAACATAAGGAAAATCCTAACGTGGCGCGCGCGCTGGGAGCCTGTGGAGGCCATGACAGAGAACATACACAATAATCCATGTCACCTCCAAAATCCAATCGGTCACCGCGAAGGGCCCCCTTTATTCTCCAGGACAACATTGCGACTTTTCCACTGTCGACAATAAAAAATCCCCACGCGGTGCGCGCGCGTGGGGAGTCAGTGGTGGTCATGGCAGAGAACATACACATGATTCACGCTTTACTGCCCATGCTGAAGCGACGACGATGCTCAATACATTTTGCCGGGACCAACTGCTTATGACCACTTCAAAAGCTCTGAATCGGGATCGCCTGCTCGGCAGGCGGCACGAGACGCTAGCAGCTCTGCTGCCTCCAAACTGAAGCCCTAGAGGGAAGAAGAGGAAGGAGGAGAAAGGGGAAGGACGGCGGGGCCGCTAAAAAACTTGAGCATATATGCGTGCGGAAACAACTGTCGGCATTCAACGTACCGCTAATCATTCAAGAGCGAGCTCTACACATGATTCACGCTTTACTGCCCATGCCAAAGTGACGACAATGCTCAATACATTCTGCCGGGGCCAACTGCTTATGACCACTTCAAAAGCTCTGAATCGGGATCGCCTGCTCGGCCGGCGGCACGAGACGCTAGCAGCTCTGCTGCCTCCAAACTGAAGCCCCTACCCACCCTCAAATAGTGCATTGGCCCGCTGGCTGATCGGTTTCGCCAGCACGGTGCAAAGGGCGGGCGGATACGGGCAGGCGCGGGACGTCCAGAAATTACCTTGGGAGTCCTTACCTCGCAGGGTGATATGTCTTTTCCCGGAGGCATTACAGCGAGCTTGTGTTCCCGAACATGTGAGCAGAACATTATCTAATTCTGGCAAGTTAAAAGTCAGAAAGATCGTGGCTTTCCGCCACGGCACGTTGTACTGGCAGTAATCCACACGATGGAACTTTGCCTTGTACGCATTAGCAAGATCAAGCAATTGCGGCGTCATCCAGAGCCTGGACGAGGCAGGATTTTCAATCAGCACGAAAAGGTTGGCGGCGACAGCCTTCTCGACCAGGCTTAGGATGTTTCTGAAAATTACATTAGCGCTGTCTATCGTCCTCTGGTCGGCGGGGGCGAGAGCAGGCAGGCCAAAAAGATGCTGGTCACTACGTAGCGGAGGCGGCCCAAGGCCGTCATTCTTTCTGGCCCTCGACCACGTCTTGCAGCCCAGGCCGAAGTGCAGGCCGCACAGTCGACGCTGGCGGATGCGCTGTCGGAAGCCCTCGATCACTGCGGGGACCTCGAGGTCGGCCGCAGCCCCGTCGATGTAGTCCCAGCCCTCGGCAGCAAGCCCGCACTCGCCGACGGCGGCCGCGAGGTGAGCGGACCCGCACATGAGCTCGGCGAAAGGCGGGATCCCTGAGCTGAGGCCGGGCGGCGGCCCGAAGCGGCGCGGAGGGCATTGCTCGGCAGGCCCGCGGGGCCGCTGGCGGGCCGCCTGCGCCACCCGCGCAGCCCGAGGCTCGTCAGCACCAGCCCTTCGAGTTCGCCAGGCGCCTCCCGTGTCCGCCTGAGCAGTGCGGGGGGGCATCGAGGCCTCCTGCTGCTGGACGAGGGCATGGGCCTCGTATCGCCTGACGCTCTTGTCGGAGGCCCACCTTCCGCGCTCCTTGATCTCGGGCAGCGAGCGCTGCCGTCGGAGCCGGTCGTGGGAGGAGCCCCCGTGTCGGAGCTGGCACAGCACGAACCTGTTGGGGATGCCCAGGGCGCGGAGCGCGGCGGCCCAGACGCCCCGCAGCTGCAGCGCCGCCAGGTCGAATAGCGGCCGAGAGGGCAGCCCCACCTTCAAGCTCTGGAGCGCCTCCCCGAGCCACAGCGCCGCCGTGGAGTCCAGCAGGAGGGACTCGTCGGACAGCCTGACTTTGCTCACCTCGCCGCGGTCGCTGGGGCGCAGGTTCACGGCGAAGAAAGGCGACGACGTCGTGGGCGGCACCAGGTCCTGCTCCAGAAGGCCTTCCGCCTCGGAGGGGCGCAGGTAGGCCAGGGACATGACGAGCACCATCAGGGCGGCCGCTGGCTGCTTGAGGGTCGTGAGCATGACCTGGAATCAGAGCAGTCACCACCCAAGGGATCGGGGGGCGTGTGACTCCTGGGTCGAGCCGCTCCCATCCCTGCAGCGCCCGCGACAGCCGCGGGAGGCGCAGCCCACCGCGCCGGGAAAAGTCGGGGTGCTCCGAGACGAACGCCACGTAGACCCGCTGGACCGCGCCCTTGTCGAGGCCCTCGGCCCGGGCGAAGTTGGCGTAGTTCGTCAGCGCCAGGTCGGCCGCCGCGGGGGTGTCGAGCGAGAGCCCGTTCACGGCGACAAATTGCCTGAGCTCGACCATGCACTCCGCGTAGGTCTTCTGGGTGTCGGGAGCCACGGCGTTGGTCTCCAGGAACGACTGCGAGCCCGCGGGCACCAGCTGGAAGGACCCTGTGGCCGCCGTCCGCCTCGCCGATCGCTCCTCGCGGGACGTCCCCGCGAAAGGCCGCCCCCGCAGCTGCCCCTTGCGGAGCGCCGCCCGAGCCTGGGCGACTCGGCGCGCGGGCGCGCGGCGCAGCCGCGAGGTCTCCATGCGGGCGCCCCCGCCGGCGGGAGCCCTTGTCCGAGTGGTTCAGCTCAGACGGGATCCAGCGATTCTCGAACCGAACGTTGGCTGCGACGGAGTAGGCCGCCTCTCGGCGGCAGCACAGGAGCAGGCCAAAAGCAGAGCACCTGCCCCGAGACGGCGCCAAGACGGTCCCCAGATTGTCCCCGAGCTTCAGGTGCCGCTTGTTGAAGGCCCTCGTGGACCTGAGGATGCGCCTAGAGGCCGCGTTGATGGCCCTCCCCTCCAAGACCGTGATGCTTTCCGATACGTGGAACGGGGCCGCGAACACTTCGGTCCAGGCCTCCTCGCTGAGCACGCTGTGTGGGACCTCGGCGAAGTCCGGATTGAGGTCCCAGGGGCCCTCTGAGCCTAGGGGGTACTCGACGCTCTTGACAGTGCTGATATCCCCGAAGACATCCATGTTGACATAGTCGCGGGGCCCCTCGGAGCCCTCCCTGACGATAGCCTCGTGCGGGTCCCCGTAGGTGTCCTCGTTGGAGCCCTCCCCGAAGATGGCCTCGTACGAGTCCCCGTCCGTGTCCTCGTTGGAGCCTTCCCCGAAGCTGGGCGCTAGAGCAGACTTCCTCGCAGACACGGCCGTCGGCACTCGGTACCGCCACCTCTCACTCACTCTCCCGATGGACGAGACGATGGAGACAGGGAGGTTGGTTGATGCCACGGCCATCCCGGAAAGGCAAGCGTCACTGGCGACGACAGTCGGGCTCCATGGCATTCGCAAATTACTGAACATGACGCTGAGCAAAGACCGGCACTGGGCAACTTCCGCCGCTGCCGAGGGCCACAGGCGTCTCCTCTCTGTGTGATGCTCTCTGATGAAGTCATAGAGTGCCCTCAAAATTCATAACAACTCTCTCCGAAGCATGATGTGATCAATGACGTGTCCGACGAAACGTTCGATCTCCTTGCCTGTGACCCTCGGCCTCCGCCCCAGCCAACGACAAGCCTGCCTGAGCCTATCAGCACGCTCTGGGCGTAAGAAGACCATCCCCTGCACCCCGTCGACGAGACGGCCCAGGCTGGAGAAGGTGGACGAGGCTCGCACGACCTCGTGGATCTCAACGCCGAAAGAAATCCAGCTGGAACTTATATCGTCCAACATCTGGTCACACTGGTGCGGGTCTGTCCCCACCACGTTTTTTTTCTCACTAAGGGAGCAGACACGGCCTACCTCCCCCCAGGGACGGAACAGGACCATGGTCCGTGAGCAGGCGCTCAGGACCCACCGAGGCAGCCTGCAAGCATCGAAAGACGTTGCAGCGCTGCCCCAGCCAGAAGGCCCAGTTCCATCCCATCGGAACCACGGAGAGGAAGGGCCAGACCCAGCCCCCGCGCTCCACCTGGGGCGAGTCGACCGCGCTGCACCCCCACTGTGACAACATAGCCTCGGGCACCGGCGGGAGCGAGAAGAACAGTCCGAGCTCCTCCCTCAGACCGAGTGCGTAGAAGTAGTTGCGGATGTCGGCCTGCGCGCAGTACAACGTCTCCTTGAAGCTGCCAGCCCCGTCGACGTCGTCCTGGAGGCAGACCCTGCCGTAGGCCGCCGAGGTGCCCATGCTCTGCGGCGGCGCGTGCTTGAAGCGCCTGTTGGGGATGCGGGCGCCCCACACCAAGCGCTGCTGGCCGTTCTTCTTACTGACAAAGAACGGCGTCACCAAGTCCTTAGGGTTGAAGGTAAAGGAGACCATACCCGCGGACACGAGGTCGCTCACGAACGTCACGTAGGCGTCGTCATGCTTCCGCGGGTACTCGTCCATGTACGGGGTGATGGGGGGCTCGGTCTCCACGATCTTGCCCCACTCATCGGCAGAGCGCAGCATGCGCGCCTCGAAGTGCAGCAGATACTCCCTCCCGACTGGGTCGATCACAGACTCGACCCGTGGCACCGACGAGCCCACTCTGGGGATGTCTACTCGAGATCTGTCATACCGCACCACCGGACTCTTAGCCTCCTCGCCTGTGTACGAGAGGTTGGTAGCCAAAAACTCACGAGCGGCCTCACGGCGTGAATACATGGTGTTGGCTCTTGGGGCAGCCTTCACCTGAGAAAAGATGGCCCGATGGGCCTCCCTCTGAGCAGCGTTCGCGGGACCGTGCCGCGGCTGCGGAGGATGAAGTAAGTTGATGCCGTCGACCACCTCATTGCACTCAGCCTGAAGTCGGCGACGACGGGCCAGCCTGCGGCGGACGCACTCCGAAGCCCCTTGCCTCGTGGGTGGCGCCACCTCGACCATCGGCAGCGGGAAGAGATCTCGCTGGCGGTCTGGCTGAGCGGACAAAACTGCGGCGGGTCGATCCCGCTCGGGGGCCTGTTGCCGGCTGGAGCGCGGCCCGAAACTCCAGCCTGAGGAAGTCATTGCCCTCCGCCCCCAGCTCCGCCTGGGGGATGCTTGCCGGACTTCCTGAGCTTGGCCTCCTCCTTCGCCTTGCGCTTCTCCTTCTGGATGGCGACCTCGTCCTTGAGGCCCTCAGCGACGTACTCCTGGAAAGCTGGCACGACTGAAGCACCATCCTTCCGAGTCTGGAGCCCCATGTACAGGTCGGCCGCCGAGTAGTCAGGGTTCGAGGGCGACCCCCGATGAGCGTCCTCGATGAGCTGCAGGCGGCGCGCCAGCAGCTCTGCAGACTGCAAGGCGCCGATGTTGAGCTGGTCCACCGTCAGCATGGACTCCATGACCCGACATATCATCTCGTGCTCATGCACCGAGCGGTCGCCCTCGGGGATCCTGGCCCCCCTCACCCAGCTCTCATGGTGGGTCACCGCCGAAAGCCCAGCATCGCGCCAGGAGCGCGCGAGGGGCAGGGCGGTGCGAGGCCCCTGCGCCATGACTCCACCTTCGGGTTCGTCAGCGACTTGGTTGTCGACTGCCTCGGCGAAAGGCCTCCGCCGCACCCCCATCGCTGTTGAACTTCACGTGCATGACCCTGAGGTCGTCGACCGCGTAGCTGTCCAGGTCGCGGCGGGCAACGAGGCGGGCCGCGATCTTGCCAGCTGGGAGCTCGACCACCGCGCAGTCACCAACGATGGTCGACCCGTCAGGAAGCGGGTCGGGGAGCTGCTGCCCCCTGGCGTAGCCGTGGTAGTCCTCCGTGGCGACCCAGACCGAGCCAGGCGGGACTGGGGGCGCGGCTGCGACGGCGCGTCCGACCACGCCCGCGATGCCTGGGCCACGAGCCGCGACCGCTCCAGCGCCAGGTGCTCCCGCCGCGGCCTGGGGGACGCCTCCCGCCAGGGCTGGCGCCACCTGCCCGACGCGGCCCCCGACCATGAGGGCTCCGTCCCGCTTGAGCTGCTCCATCAAGGCAGCGTCGGGCGGGTTGCGGAACCTGTAGATGCGTCGCGGGCCCGCGCCTGCGGGAGTGTCTCCAGGCCGAGCTATCCACCTCACCTCGGCGATGTCCTCATTCTGCTGACTCACGTCCTCGGCGTAGTGGTCGCCGTCGTTGGTGTAGTTGGCCACCAGCGACGGCTCCGTCTCGGAGACACCCGTGACCACCCGCTCATGGAAGATCTCGGGCCCCGGCACCTCGTACCTGATCAGCAGCCGGTCCCCAGGGGGTGGCCATCTCACGCCTGCCGGAGCGGCGGGCGCCGCCTCACCTGCGCCACCTGCGCCCGCGCCAGCTCGCCCAAGTCCGCGCCCTCCTCGACAGCCCCGCGGCGGCGGCGGCAGCCACGACGAGCCCGCGAAACTGTCGCCCCCAGCGCGCCCGTGATGCCGCCGACGACCACGGAAGCCCCGTCGAAGCCGAGGACGTCGCCCTCGGCCCGCAAGGGGTACACGGCGGGGCACGAGAGGTTGACGGGCGGCGGCTGGGGGCACGCAAGCTGCACCACCGGGGCGGGGCAGCTCAGGTTGGCCACCGGGCAGGGAGGGCACGTCAGGTTGGCCCCCGGACACGTGGGCCTGCAGTCAGGGCAGGCGGGCACACCGTGCGAGAAGGCGAGGTACTGCGCGAGGAGCTCCGCCCCGCGCCAGAGCCCTGCCTTCAGGTTGGGCCCGACAGGGGCCCCACGCACAGCGGCGGCCGGGCCAGGGAGCATGCGGTGCCCTGGGTCTCTTTCCGCCGCTAAAAACTTGAGCATATATGCATGCGGAAACATATGTCGGCATTCAACGCACCGCTAATCATTCAAGAGCGAGCTCTACACAAGAAGCAATGTTGCCTCGGAAATCCCATCGGTAACCGCTTAGGGCCACTTTCGTTTCCAGGCCAACATAGCGACATCTGCATTGGCGACAATAAGGAAAGCCTCGCGCGGCGCGCGCGCGGGCAGTCTGCGGTGGCCATAACATGTCACCTGGGAAAGCCAATCGGCCCCGCTACGGGGCCACCTTAGTTTTCAATGATGGGGGTCCTCCCATGTCTTGATATCCGTTCTGGTCAATTTTCAAAGAACGTTCGCCGCCGCACCGTCGCTATCTACGTATACCCCCCGGGCGCCGTCGGACCGATGCGTCTGCGCAATCTCTGTTGATCTATCTGCCCCACCCCGGGCGCCGTCGCACCCTCGGCTTTGCTTCGCTGGCGGCGCCCATCTATGCATCTATATGTGCCGCGCCCGGTCGCCGTCGCACGGGCGCAAATTTGCATGCGACCACACCGGCGCATTCTATTGTGGACAATGCAGACCTCAGACGCGCGCGCGCGACAGAGTTCTGTATTGTCAATAATAGAATAGGTGACATGTATCCCCAAAAACTGAATTCAAAATTTCTGTGGCTCTTTAAGGGGGCCGACGGACGCGTCGACTTTTCTAGCATGGACAATGCAGAACTCAGACGCGCCCGCGCGACAGACCTCTGTATTGTCCACATTAGCATAGTCGACATCTAATTCCAAAAACTGCATTCAAAATTTCTGTGCCTTTTTAAGGAGGCAGACGGACGCGTCGACTTTTCTGGTGTGGACATTACTTAACTCAGACGCGCACGCGCGCGACAGAGTTCTGCATCGTCCACATTGGCATAGTCGACATGTAATTCTAGCAACTGAATTCAAAATTTCTGTGGCTCTTTAAGGAGGCCACCGGACGGGTCGCCTTTTCTAGTGCGTGAAATACAGAACTCAGACGCGCGCGCGCGCGACAGAGTTCTGAATCGTCCACAGTAGAGAAGTCGACATGTAATTCCAAAAACTGTAGTCAAAATTTCTGTTGCTTTTTAAAGAGGCCGACGGACGCGTCGCCTTCTCTATTGTGGACAATGCAGAACTCAGACGCGCGCGCGCGCGACAGAGTTCTGCATGGTCCACAATAGAATAGGTGGCGCGAGATTCCAGAAACTGAACTCACAATTTCTGTTGCCCTTGAAGGAGGCCGACGGACGCGCCCACATTTCTAGTGTGGACAATACAGAACCCAGACGCGCGCGCGACAGAGTTCTGTATTGTCCACAATCTAAAAGTCGACATGTGATTCCAAAAATGGGATTTCAAATTTCTGTGGCCCCTTAAGGAGGCCGACGGACGCGTCGACGTTTCTAGCGTGGGCAATACAGAACTCAGACGCGCGCGCGGGCGACAGAGTTCTGTATTGTCCACAACAGAAAAGTCTACATGTAGCTCCAAAAACTGAACTCAAAATTTCTGTGGCTCTTTAAGGGGGCCGACGGACGCGTCGACTTTTCGAATGTGGACAAAACTGAATTCAGACGCGCGCACGCGAGCGCGACAGAGTTCTGTATTGCCCACATTATAAAAGTAGACGTGTAGTTCCAAAAAACTGAAATCAAAATTTCTGCTGCTCTTTAAGGAGGCCGACGGACGCGTCGACTTTTCTATTGTGGACAATGCATAACTCAGACGCGCGCGCGCGACAGGGCGTTGCATTGTCCATCATAGAAAAGGTGGCATGTACTTCCAAGAACTGAGTTCAAAATCTCTGTGGCTCGTTTAAGGAGGCCGACGGACGCGTCCATATTTCTAGCGTGGACAATGCAGAACCCAGACGCGCGCGCGACATAGCTCGGCATCGTCCACAATAGAGAGGTCGACATGTAATTCAAAAAACTGTATTCAAAATTGCTGAGGCTTTTTAAGGAGGCCGACGGACGCGTCCACATTTCTAGCGTGGACAATGCAGGACTCAGACACGCGCGCGCGCGCGACAGAGTTCTGTATTGTCCACATTAGCATAGTCGACATGTATTTCCCAAAAAACTGAATTCACAATTTCTGTCGCTCTTTAAGGAGGTCGACGGACGCGCCGACTTTTCGAGCGCGGTAAATACAGAACTCAAACGCGCGCGCGCGCGCGCGCGACAGAGCTCTGTATTGCCCACGATAGAAAAGTCGACATGTATTTCCAAAAACTTATTTCAGAATTTCTGTGGCTCCTCAAGGAGGCCGGCGGACGCGTCGACTTTTCTATTGTGATCAATACAGAACTCAGACGCGCGCGCGCTTGAGACAGAGTTCTGTATTGTCCACAATAGAACAAGTGAAATGTACCTCCAAGAACAGAATTCCAAATCTCTGTTGCTTTTTAAGAAGGCAGACGGACTCCTCCACATTTCTAGCGTGGGCAATACAGAACTCAGGCGCGCGCGCGCGCGACAGAGTTCTGTATTGTCCACAATATAGAAGTCGACATGTGATTCCAAAGCTGAATTCAAACTTTCTGTGGCTCTTTAAGGAGGCCGACGGACGCGTCGACTCTTGTAGTGTGGACAATACAGAAATCAGGCGCGCGCGCGACAGAGTTCTGTATTGCCCACATTAGCATAGTAGACATGTATTTCCAAAAAACTGAATTCAATTTTTCTGTTGCTCTTGAAGGAGGCAGACGAACACGCCTTTTCTTCGAGTGTGGACATTACATAACTCAGACGCGCGCGCGACAGAGTTCTGTATTGTCCACATTAGCATAGGTGACATGTAATTCCAAGAGCTGAATTCAACACTTCTGTGGCCCTTTCAAGAGGCCGACGGACGCGTCGACTTTTCTTTTGTGGACAATGCAGAACTCAGACGCGCGCGCGCACGCGCGACAGTTGTGTATTGTCCACAATGAAGTAGGTGACATGTATTTCCAAAAACTGATTTCAGAATGTCTGTGGCTCCTCAAGGAGGCCGACGGACGCGTCCACATTTCTAGTGTGGGCAATACAGAACTCAGACGCGCGCGCGCGCGAGCGCGACAGAGTTCTGTATTGTCCACCATAGAAAAGTCGACATGAAATTCCAAAAACTGACTTCAAAAAATCTGTGGCTCTTTAAGGAGGCCGGCGGACGCGTCGACTTTTCTAGTGTGGACACTACAGAACTCATGGCAGCGACCGACCGCCGAGGGGCTCGGATTGCACTTCCGCGCGCCTGCGCGCCCTTGAAGGCACCGCAGGGCCCCTTCGGTGGCCCGTAGGCTGCCGCACGGCAGCGAAGGCTCGCAATGTTGGCAAGTGTGTCGCTAGCCACGACGCAAGCGCACTCGCTGGAATCATCGCCGCGCTGCCTCCAGCGAGTGCGCTTACGGCGTGGCTAGCGACACACCGGCCCGGGCCGGCGTGTCGCTAGCCACGCCGCAAGCGCACTCGCTTGAATCAGCGCCGCGCTGCCTCCAGCGAGTGCGCTTACGGCGTGGCTAGCGACACGCCGGCCCGGGCCGGTGTGTCGCTAGCCACGCCGTAAGCGCACTCGCTGGAATCAGTCGCTGCATTCGCTAGCGAGTTCAGCAACGGCGTAGCTTTCTAACGCGGCGCCGGCTAAGGCATTGGTGTTGATTCTCCTTCTATCGTCTGTAAGCCTAAGGATGTCAGTACCTATTGTGCGATTCGAAAACTGTTCTGGTGGAGCCACCCGGTGCTCGCGATCCTGGTCACTGCATCGAAACGTGTTCGTGAACCAGGAACGGCCAGGGGCAGGGATCAGGAGCAGTGGTGACCAGGGGCAACGAGGGGGGGGGATAGGCCCAGGGGGGACGCATCGACCCTGAATCGCTCATTCATCGCCGATCGGGGCCTGAGTGCTTTACCCTGCCAAGGAACGTGCGGTTTCGCTATCGGGGGCCTATCGCAGATCTCTCGGCGATGTGTCGCCGATTCAAGGTCATTGCTTCACCCCTTGTGCCAGTCCCCCCCCTCTCGTTGCCCCATCAGGCATTCGTTTGATTCAGCGCTCCAGGATGGCCAGCAAGAGCGATGACGTGTCGCTGGAGCGGGGGGGCGGCCCCCCCACCGTAGCGACACTCCGGTCCGGTACTGAGTGTCGCTCGGCCCTTCCCTGTTGCAGTGTTGGCGCGACACCCAATGGCGAGGGAAGATGAGAGGGGAGTCCACACTGCAGCGCGGGAGGGCCGAGCGACACTCAGCACCGGACCTGAGTGTCGCTACGGCGGGGGGGCCGCCCCCCTGCTCTAGCGACGCCATTTGTTTTAAAGAACGTGGTTGGCTTACTTGGGCCGCTGAATCGAACAAGTGCGCTTTGGCATGAGCTGGCGGACATCAACCCAGCCCGCTCTCCGTCTCTTTCTTGCCATGTTTCGCACCCTCCACTTCCCCGCCATCCACCCTATTTCCTCACACAGTGCTTGCAATTAGGGGTTTTTACTTCTGTTCTAAGGAACTGGGCCTGTGGGCCGGTCTGGCGGTTCCCTGCCGGCCGTCGCCGCCCCGTCGCCGCCTCGTCGCCGCCCGTCGCCTCGGCCGGTGTGCCGGCCTTGCGGCTCCGTGCCGGCCGTCGCCGCCCCGTCGCCGCCCGTTGCCTGGGCCTGTGCGTCGGTGTGGCGGCTCCAGGCCGGCCGTCGCCGCCCCGTCGCCACATCGTCGCCGCCCACAGAGATTGCACGACATAGACTTGCCCACATAGCTTGCCCACATAGATTGCACCACATAGGTTGCACCACATAGATTGCACCACATAGAATGCACCACATAGCGTACACCGCGTAGGGCGCACCACAGATATTGCGCCACATGGATTGCACCACATAGGTTGTACCACATATATTGTGCCACATATATCGCACCACATAGACTGCACCACATAGACTGTGCCACATAGTCTGCATCACATAGCTTACACCACATATATTGAACCGCGGAGATTACATAGCT